GGGAGGGGCAGACATAAAAACAATAATACAACCATATCTATAGCCATGGAGTGCACACAGACAAACTCACAGACATACATAGGAACCCTGGTTGTTACCTCGGGTGCATACAGGGCACAGGGGTCCAGGTTGCCCTGCAATGTCACGTTCTTCCCCACACGCTCCCTGGAAGCAGAGTTGGTGGTTCATTCTAGTGACTGCACATAAGGCAGCTGCACCCCCCTCTACCTCACCCTCCATTACTTACCGGGCTTTCTCTGGGGTCACTGTCCAGTCAAGCCCAACCACCTCATAGCCAGCCTGAGCCAGCTCCTCCAGAGCAAAATGTCCATCCTTAGCAAAGATAATCTGGGGGAAAGAAAGGGCTGATATCTGAGGCTACAGAGGGCCTTTGCTCTGCCTACTAACCTACTATCTCAGCTCTACCTTTGCTGCCCTTCAGTCGCCACTTCATTCCATGCAGGACTTGCCCTGAATGTTCCAGTCATACCTTCTTCATTCATCCTATCCCCATTCTTACCATGGGCACTGGAGCCAGGCCTGCCTCCTGCAGCCTGGCCTTTACTCGCTTGGCCACTTCACGGATGTAGGGCAGTGCAAACTTATTGAAGAGCTGTGGGCCAAGATGCCCTGCGTGGGACTCAAAGAGCTGCAATGCCTACAGTTAGGAGGTGAAGAGAAACATTTAACACAAAAAGGAAACAGGCCCACACACAGAAGGTGCCTCAATTTTCCTCCCAAGTGACTTGAACCCTTGACACTGCCTAAGCCTATAAACCCAGTTCCAGTCAAAAAGTATTGTCTTTCTCTCCAGATCCCGGTGCTAACTTTGGTCTTTGAACACACAAAACATTAAGCCCCCTGCCAGTCTCTGGGGGGCTTAGGTGCTCCAGCCAGATCATTGCAAGCCAAACTTCTTTCATGCCTGGCATTAAGATACCTACTCTCTCAGGTGTAGGGAACTATGTTGATTCTGGTCCTTATATACTAAACCCCAGCCTATCTGTCTCTCCCTCAGGACTCACCTGGGCACCAGCAACCACTTGTCCCACCAGATATGGTACCAGAGCATCAGTTAGGATGCGAAGCAGCTGGTGACTGGCCTTTGGTTTCTGGTAAAGCCAACGCTTGGCCTGAGCCATGGTGCTTGAGCTGCCCCCCTCAATCATGTATGTCATCAGAGTCCACTGCAAAAGGACACAGAGACTATCACAGGTGTAGAAGTCTGACACTTCCTTCCCTTGTCTATATCAGACCTGCCAGTGTGATTTCCCTATGCCCAAGTACCTGCCCTGTTTCACATTACCGGCGCACCAGCAAAGCCAATCAGCGGCACACGTCCAGCCAGCTGTTGTCGAGTGAGGGTGATGGCCTGGAATACATAGGCCAGCTCAGAGGCCACTGTTGCTGGATCCCGGAGGCGCTCTAAATCCTGCTCTTCTCTTAATGGCTCTGGGAAGCTGGGACCTTTGCCAGGCACCATGGTCACCTCCATGCCCAGTGCCTGGGGGGGAAGAAAACATCCGTGTTCCCAACCTGTAACTCCAGGAGAAAGGCTCTGTTCAGCCCATAACAGGAAAGAGGAAAAGGAGAGTACAGCTCAGCCAAACTCCATCTCTTCAGCCTAAGTTCTTCCCACTGTCCAGTGAGGATGAGTGTCCTTCTTGAGCCTCACTGTCTACTCCCTTTTTCATCCATCCCAAAATCAGGTTTGAGCAGGTACCTGGGGTACAACAAGGATGTCGGAGAAGATGATGGCAGCATCCAGAGGGAAGCGACGCAGGGGCTATGGGGAATAGAAGACAGGTTGCTAGACAGTGAGCTGAGTGCATAAATCACTCCCCTCTTCTGTGGACCCCTCACCTGCAGAGTCAGTTCACAACAGGCCTCTGGGGATCGACAGGTACTGAAAAAGTCCTGGGCAGCCCGAGTTTCCCTAAACTCTGTAGACAGAAAAGGCAGGGCTCGGCCTTGAGGAACCTTTACAGCTCTCCCCTGCACCTCAAAAACTGCCCTCCACCGTTTTACCTAGACTCCCAGGCCCTCACCCTGACCTGGTAAGTAGCGGCCGGCCTGCCGCATGCACCAAACCGGAGTGTAGTCTGTGTCTTCTCCCCAGGCTGCTCGCAGGAATGTGTCATTTTTCAGCTCTGGAAAGCCCTGGGGTCTGGAAATGGGGGTTGGAGGTGGGAGGTTGGTGTCAGTAATCTAGGCTGAAGGTTGGGGAAGGCTCAGGTTCTTAAGGCAGATTCAGCCCACCACCGTTATCTGCCTTCTCCAGAACAGCTCCCAAGCTGTGGCTCCCCGCCCATTTCGCCTCCTCTCTGCTATCAGGTGGTGCCCACAACTACGAGGGCCCGCGCTGGGGCCTCTACCCTACCACAGTCCCAGCTTCCCCAAGCTCAAAGCCACTAGAAAGACTAGCGAAGTGGGGGTGGCGGGGGTGGAAGGGCGGGGGCGGGTGGAAACCCAAAAGGATAGTTGGAGGGTCCCTGGATCAGAAAAATCACAGGAACGGGGGAGTATAAATGGGCTGGTTCCAGGTCTGTGGGCTAGTCCAAGGAGGGATCAGAGTTGATAGCCTGGAAATAGGGGTCCTAACTGAGGATTACAAAGTCCTACGAGCATCCCCTAAATGACGGTCTAGGGGGACGGATAGTCTCAGGAATCCATGACTGGAGGATTTTCGGGATTCCAGACTCTGGTTCAGATTGGGGACTCTCCAGGGAAGGGGGTATAGGGACAGATCCCTCAGCGGGAAGGCCCAGGTCGGAAGCCTCGCTGGCCGGACCGCACGTGAGGCAGACAACTCACCCGAACCCGTTCGCCTCCATGGTAAGATGTCTGTAACTTCGAGGCAGTCCCACTTAAACCTGAATTTTAGCCGGCCCCTCCCCAAGCTCCGCCCCTTCCTGAACTGAGCCAAGGCGGTGGCCATGTTGGGAGTCACATGATCTGGTTGTAGCTACCGCTACCCGGCAGCCCCGGCTGCTCCCCGGCGGACTCCCTACTTCTCTTAACCGTAATATCGAGTGTAGGGACGCAGCAAAAAAGGGTTGGGGGAAAAAAGTACTTCACTTTAAATTACCCTTTACCGTGAGTGGGGAATTTGCCTTCTCTGATGGACTAGGGATCCCGAAGGCTCAGCGTAGGTCTCACTTTCACTCCCACCCTCCATGATTCTAACAATCTGATGCCTGGCCCAGCCAGGCATACAGTGGATTATGGAACCAAACTATACAGGAAACTAAAATCATTAAATATTTGTATTACCTACTAAGAGCCTATAATAGGTATAGAAGTTAGAGTGGTGAACAAGATAGCCCCTTTCTTTAAGGAGCTACAGAAAGCAGCGGGGGTGTTCCAAGAAAAGGGAATAGCAAGAGTAAAGCTAAGAGGCAAAAGAACAAAGGGCTATTACTATGAAAACCAGGAGGTAAATCTGGTGGAATTAAAGAGGCTGGGAATGTCTACAGAGTTCGGGTCATGCAGGTCCCTGGTGAAGTATATTTGTTCACTTTATCCTGTAGTAGAGTTACAGCATAGAAATAGCTTAAAGAGAAGGAAAAAACACTATGTTCTCAATTTTCTAGTGAGGAAAAAAAAAAGGGAAACTGTCAAAATTACATGGGATCATTTATTATTAATTTATTGATAATTTCAATTATTGCAAAACCATATCAAAACAGAGTTTCCACCCAGGTCCATCAACAGCTGACTGGATATACATACAATAGAATATTATTCAGCCAAAAAAAAGAATTTAAGTTCTGATAAATGCTACATCATTTTTGTAACATTATGCTGACTAAACTAAGACAGACAGAAAAGGACAAACTTTGTAAGGTTCCACTCACATGGAAAATCTAGAGTAGGCAAATTCATAAGGCAGAAAGTGGATTACAGTTTGTTTACCAAAAGCCAGGGAGGAGGCAATAAGGAATTAATTGCTTAAAGGGTACAGAGTTTCTGTTTGGGGTGATGAAAAGTTTTGAAAATGGATCATTGTGCACTTAAAATTTATTGAAATGGCAATTTTTGTTATACACATTTTACCAGTTTTTAAAAATTAACGTAATATGGGCCCTAGCCAGGCGGCTCAATCAGTTAGAGCATATGCCAAGCTCACAGGTTCAATCCCCAGTCCGAGCACATACAAGAAGCAACCAATGAGTGCATAAGTAAGTTGAACCACAAATCCATGTTTCTTTCCCTCTCTCTCCCCCCACTCCTTCCTCTCTCAATAAATCAATAAATTTAAAAAAACTTTAATGTAATATATCAGAAGGCATTGATTTGCACAGTTTAAATGCATGAATTGAATAGTATATGAATTATATTTAAACAAAATCTTTTTTAAATGGGAGAAGGGGACAGTTGCCTTTTCTTCCGTGATTGTACTTTACCAATTGCCCCTGTCCATCTTTTTTTGCCTCTTCCCTTTCCATCTAGGCTTTTCCTCTCATTTGGCTCAGAATTACTGGGAGAAACTGGGTAATGATCACAACTATCCTAGGATTTGGATTAAACACCGGGATCAAGCCTGACTGACTGAAGACTCCTGACAGTGTCAGGGCTGGGGAAGAGGTTATTCTCCCAAACATTTTAGTCACACTGTCTCTAGGATAGGGAGCCCAAGAGGATGTCTAGAAAATTTTGAAAGATCCTTCTGGCTTTATCACTTGTTGGGAAGAAGGCAAAACAGGAGGCCAGAGGATCAGAAAAATGGAGGTTGCAATGATCCATCCTAGATAGGATGGTGACTTGAATAAGCGTGGTGGCCGTGGAGATAAAATGGTAGTAGAAAGAAGGATAGCAAAGGTGAGATTGATCACATAGAAACTACTGAACCTGGGTCTGTTTGGCTGACACAGAGTGGGAGGCACTGAGGCAGGTAACATGCTTGAGGATCCGTGTACAGAGGGCAACACAGAGGCAGGTGCGCTTAGTCCAGAACTTACGGCGAAGGCTGGCCAAAGGCGGGGCAGAGCTCAGTGGGAAGCTCAGTCCACCTTCGCGGCCGCTGCTCCGAAAGCCGGATCGCCCCTGGGCTACCCTCTGCCACGTCGCCATGGCGGGCCCGGGCCCGGGCGCGGCGCTGGAGACCCCGCGGCAGCTGCTGGGTCGTGTACGCTTCCTGGCGGAGGCAGCGCGGAGCCTCCGATCCGGGCGGCCGCTCCCGGCGGCGCTGGCTTTCGTGCCGCGCGAGGTGCTCTACAAGCTTTACAAGGACCCGGCGGGACCGTCGCGGGTGTTGCTGCCGGTGTGGGAGGCGGAGGGCCTGGGACTGCGCGTGGGAGCTGCGAACACGACCCCTGGTACCGGCTCCGGGCCCCTACGCGCTGCTCGCAACAGCATCGAGCTCCGGCGCGGCTCCTGTGTGCGCACCACCGGCGAAGAGTTGTGCAACGGCCATGGGCTCTGGGTGAAGCTGACCAAGGTGCGCCCTGGCTTGTCCTGGGCTCCGCAAAAGATCCTCGGGTTCTAGGAAGCCCCTGGCTGTTCCCCTCCCCTCCCCATATTGAGGTGGCATTGCATTCGGTGCCCTTTGCCCTTGGGCTGGGCAGGGCAGCCTCTGGTCATGGGCGGTTCCCTGACACCTGCCCCCATTTGACGCATCCCTGCAGGAGCAACTGGCAGAGCACCTAGGCGACTGCGGGCTGGAGGAAGGCTGGCTCCTGGTGTGCCGCCCGGCAGAAGGCGGGGCCCGCCTCGTACCCATCGACACTCCCGACCACCTCCAGCGACAGCAACAGCTCTTTGGAGTGGACTACCGCCCGCTGCTCAGGTCTTGCACTTGGAGGGGTGGGGCTCACTTTCAGTCGTTAGGGGCCCGGTGAGTTGGAAAGTGGTCTGGCGCCGGCCATTAGGAGGGGTACAGAAGGACCGCAGGGTTAAGAGCAGGGAGGGGCGGGGCCTGAAAGAGCTGGGGTGGGGCTTCTGGTCGTGTAGTTCGGAGCTGGTAGAGCTCTGGGTAAGGTTCCAGGCCTCGGGTGGATTGTCCTGCTGTCTGCTCATGTCTCCCCCATTCCACTCCCGCCCCCACACTCTCCGCCCACAGGTGGGAACAGGTGGTAGACCTTACATACTCACATCGCCTGGGATCGAGGCCTCAAGCAGCCGAGGCATACACGGAAGCTGTACAAAGGCTACTGTGAGTGAACTTGGGTGGGATGGGGAGGAAGGAGCTCCAGGTCTGGGCCCGACCTAATTAGGGACTTGGGGTTGCTTAGCTATGTGCCCCCGACGTGGACCTACGAGTGCGACGAGGACCTGATCCATTTCTTGTACGACCACCTGGGCAAGGAGGATGAGAACCTGGGTAGCGTGAAGCAGTATGTGGAGAGCATAGACGTTTCCTCCTACACGGTGGGTGCTGGGACTCCTCCCACCCCAAGCAAGAGTAGTTATATCTTGCTAGATCCAGTACCCTCACCTCTAGACTGGGGCTAAGCCAAAATCCCCAAAGTCCAGACTTAGTCCAGCCCCCCCATCTTGGAATCCTGTAGGAACCCTTAGATAATTCCACCCATTTAACCCAGATCCACTCTTTTCTCTCTTCTGTGCTCTCTGACCCAAAGCACACTCCCATTGCAGGGACTGGGGGTGAACACTGATTCCACCTATCCACCCTTCCTCAGGAGGAGTTCAATGTGTCCTGCCTGACAGACAGCAATGCAGACACCTACTGGGAGAGTGATGGGTCCCAGTGCCAGCACTGGGTGCGGCTTACCATGAAAAAGGGCACCATTGTCAAGTGAGTGGGCTCCGAGTAGGACAAGTGGGTGAGCCATGTGTCTGAGTGTACAGAGACCCATGTGCTTACTCTGACCCCCTAGGAAGCTGCTAATCACAGTTGATACCACAGATGACAACTTTATGCCTAAGCGGGTAGTGGTCTATGGGGGCGAAGGAGACAACCTGAAGAAGCTGAGTGACGTGAGCATTGACGAGTGAGCAAGCTGGCCTGGGTGGGAGGTGGGGCATGATCCTAGCAATGGGGACTGGCCCGGCTTGGAAGGTTGGGTGAAACCCCAGCAACCCCTGATGGTAAGGGATCTCCAAAGTGCCTCATATCTGTCTCCTCAGGACCCTGATCGGGGATGTCTGTGTCCTGGAGGACATGACTGTCCACCTCCCAATCATTGAGATCCGCATCGTCGAATGCCGAGGTGTGGCTTAAGGCTGTAAGGAGGGAAAGGGAGCCCCGTTGTCTGGATGGGGGCTAGCTGGCAGTGAGTGTGGAGAAAAAGGGATGGCCTTGGAGTTGCAATGAAGGTGGTAGCTGAACTAACTCCAGGATTTGAACCTTCGGGGCCTGAGCCAGGTGGAAACTACTGGGTATAGACCTGCCTTAAAGCCGTAGAGATTTTTAGGCTCACCTGGAAGAGGAACTAAGTTGGGACCCCTCAGGCATTACAACAATTATAGTGGTGGATGGAAGGACCAGCAAATATAATAACCAGAAATAGGTGAGTAGAAGGGGATTTCAAAGGTCCCAAGTGAGTAGGGACAAAAGGCTGAGCATTAAGGAGGCATTCTCAGGCCTGAGGGCCAAGGAGGCAACAGGCACAGTAAGTGACCTCACTCTGACTTATTCCCCCAGATGACGGGATTGATGTGCGTCTTCGAGGGGTCAAGATCAAGTCATCAAGACAGCGGGAGCTAGGGTTGAATGCAGACCTATTCCAGCCCACCAGCCTGGTGCGATACCCACGCCTGGAAGGCACTGACCCAGAAGTACTATACCGCAGAGCTGTTCTCCTGCAGAGGTAGCTGTGGTCCTGGACTTGCCAGTGTTCCCTTGCCCCTGTCTTGAGCCTTATATGTGTATGTGGAAGAGGTTCCCAAGGTCTTATACTGTAAGCTGTTCAACTTCACATATCAGAGTAGCCCCTGGGTCCTGGTTGCTCCTGTACCTGTGCGTTGGGGTTTGAGGGGATCTTACATCCACGGCAAACTCTTCAGCTGCAGTCACTTTTACCCACCCACCCCAGATTCATAAAGATCCTAGACAGCGTCCTACACCACCTGGTACCTGCCTGGGACCACACGCTGGGCACTTTCAGTGAGATTAAGGTGAGTCTGGTCCATCTGGTTATGGTCTTGGCAGTGGGCTCCCCGTTTCTACTCATGCAATCGTTCACTCTTCAGCAGACAGTTCTTGAAACCTACTCTAGGCCTGGACTTTTGCTGGGCTCTGGGTACATCGGAAGAAAGCGGGACGCAAATAGTCAGAATCTAGCCTTTGGGGTGCTGACCCTCAGATAGTGTGTGAAATACACAAAAGCTGGGGGAGGAAAAGTGATGACATGGATAGGACAAGTTGCATAAAGAGTACATACTGGGAGTTAATAGCAGTTGTAGATGATATGAGAGAGGCGTGCTAGCAGCATCTAGATGATGTGATTATGGAATGGGGATGAGGCTGGGCGGGGGTGGGCCGGAAACAGGCCATGGTAGCAAAGGGCACTGTGGGCCAGCCTGTGAAGCAGGGCCTTTATCCCTGGTCAATAGATACATCGGAAAGGTTTTAAGTAAGGTAATGACAAAGATGGATATTTTTGTTTTAGAAAGCTCCCCCTGGTGGCTGAACTAAGGGAGGGACTGGGAGCAAGGACCGGGATGGACTAGGCTTGGACTGGAATGGTGGAATTGGGTCCAAGCCTAGAGGAAGCTTCCAGGGTCTGAACAGAGGCTGACTCCCTGCCAGTCTGCTCTAACCACCATTTCTCACCAGCAAGTGAAGCAGTTCCTGCTGCTGTCGCACCAGCGGCCAGGCCTAGTGTCCCAATGCCTGCGTGACTCAGAGAGCAGCAAGCCCAGTTTTATGCCACGCCTGTACATCAACCGGCGCCTTGCCATGGAGCACCGTGCCTGCCCCTTAAGGGACCCTACCTGCAAGAATGCTGTCTTCACCCAGGTCTGGACGACCTGGGGTCGTACTGAGGGAGGGTCAGGAAGGGGCTGAGGAGGTTGGGCCAAAAGGGGTCTGAACAAGGTCTTTGGGCTAGAGTGGAGCCAGGTCTTGACATAGACGTTCCTACACCTCCTTCCTTTCCCCTGCCCCAGGTTTATGAAGGCCTCAAGCCCTCTGACAAGTATGAAAAGCCCCTGGACTACAGGTATGGCGTGAGGGTAAGGGGCTTTCTCAGAGCCGACGTGTACACATACACGCCCATACACTGCCTGTGGCACCCCTCATCGGCACCCCCATCTGCAGCCCTACTCCTGGCTGGTGTCTGGGCCGGGGAATTGTCCTGAGCCCTGGCCCAGCATGATGACAGAGGTCTACCTCTATTTGCAGGTGGCCCATGCGCTATGACCAGTGGTGGGAGTGTAAATTCATTGCTGAAGGCATTATTGACCAAGGTGAGGCCACGAAGGAGGGTAATAAGTCCCCTGCCCTGGTTAGAGTGGTAGAGGCTTCTTGGGTCACAAGCTAACCAAGATAGGGACCTGCTGTATTACCCCATTATGTGGGCTGGAGCTCTTGATTGCCCCCACTGAGGGCATCTCTCTGTCATTTCAGGGGGTGGTTTCCGGGATAGCCTGGCAGACATGTCAGAAGAGCTGTGTCCTAGCTCGGCAGACACCCCTGTGCCTCTGCCCTTCTTTGTGCGCACGGCCAACCAGGTAATCTCCCACTCCTGCCTCCCGAGGCATTTCTGCTGTTTTGTCTCTGCAAGCCTCACAGGTACCAGGCTGAGCTAGAGCGGGGGCAGAAGAGGATCTGAGTTGCCCTGGGCAGCCTCTGGGCACACAGGGAAGGGCGAGCCCTTACACATGCAGAGGGGTCATTCCGCTGGGGAGCGGAAGGTGTTCAGGGAACTTGAGGGATCTCAAGCAACAGAGAAGGTCCATCCCGTGCCATGCTGACAGCTCTGTCTTGGGGGCAGGGCAATGGCACGGGTGAGGCCCGGGACATGTATGTGCCCAACCCTTCCTGCCGAGACTTTGCCAAGTACGAGTGGATTGGACAGCTGATGGGGGCTGCCCTTCGGGGTAAGGAGTTCCTGGTGAGTAGCCTAATCTGTACTCAGATCAGCCCTGGGTTCTGGAAGGAAGAAGGGCCAGCCAAACTTGGGCAGTTCAGGATGAGAAGACATTAGTGAATATTTGCCCCACAGGTCCTGGCTCTGCCTGGTTTCGTGTGGAAGCAGCTATCTGGCGAGGAGGTGAGCTGGAGCAAGGACTTCCCAGCTGTGGACTCCGTGCTGGTGAGTAGGGCTTGGAGCTAGTGTTTCCTCTGCCCAGCCCCTGAAGGTGGCTGTTCCCCAGGACTGTCTTGAACCTTCTCTTAACCATGTACACGCTCCCTTTTCGATCACATCTACTCCCATGGTTTCAACTACTATCCGTATTCTGGTGACTCCTAAATCTTTACCTCCAACCCCAGCCTCTCTTCAAAGCCTGGAGCCATACGGGCATCTGCCTGCAGGATATCTGCCCTGTGATGGCACCTCAAGTTCAGCACACACTTCGTGTCCCCCGCCTACTGCTCTTAGAGCTCCCTGTCTCCGAATGGCACTGCCACCCACCCTTTCCCCTGCCAAGGCCCTCAGACTCATTCTTCACTCCTCCTCCTTCCTCACCACCCTCCTCCTGTCACATCTCCTTCTGGAATCTGTCTGTTCTTCCCATCTCACCGCTATGCCCCAGGTTCAGGCCGCCTTCCCTTCTGACCCAACCACCAACTACGAAAGCTCGTGTCCCTGTCTTTTCTTACCTATCTGATCTCCAGCAGCCAAAGTAATTCAGTTCTCCTCATTTAACCTTTCAATGGCTCTGCCTTGGGTTTAAGATAAAATGCGAACCCAGAAAGGCCTACATGACCCATGTCTCTGTGGCCACTTGGTTCACGTTCAGGGTCCAGCCAGACACAGTCCTTAGGCCTTTTGTTCTCTCCCCCTTTTCCCAAAATTCTCTCCCCTGAATTCTTTATGGCCCAACCAACTCCTGGCTATCATCTGGGTCTCAGCATTGATCCTGTTTCCTCCAGGACGCCTTCCCTGGCTTCCGAGCCTGATCACATGTCAGAAAGCATGTTGTCCTGATGCTTTCATAGGCTTGTACTGATCCCCTCGCTTCCCTCATTGCTTGGCTGTCTGTTCTGCTTCCCTGTGAGTATCTTGAGGAAAAACGAGGGCTGTTTCCACAATGAAAAACTGACCTTCCTGCCTCTCTCTAACCCCTAGGTGAAGCTTCTGGAAGTGATGGAAGGAATGGATAAGGAGACATTTGAGTTCAAATTTGGGAAGGAGCTAACATTCACCACTGTACTGAGTGACCAGCAGGTGGTGGAGCTGATCCCCGGGGGTGCAGGCATTGTGGTGGAATATGAGGATCGTTCCCGTTTTATCCAGCTGGTGCAGAAGGCACGGCTAGAGGAGAGCAAGGAGCAGGTACTGTCCAGTGGCCAGAAGAACAGAGAACTTTGGACAGCTTCTAGTAGCCAGAGCCCAGCCTGCTAGGCCACCAGTACCCAATCCCAGGAACTCTGGTCCCCACCATCCCTCTGCCCCACATTCCTGCCAATCAGTGGAGTACAAAAGTACCCCCAGTGCAAAGACCATGCCCCCCATTATCTCCATGAGCGGAGGCCAAGTGGCCCACCACACGCTGAGCTGGGAGCTGTGCCCTTTTCCCCAGCCAGGCATTTTCCCTCCCCAGGTGGCAGCCATGCAGACAGGTCTGCTGAAGGTGGTGCCGCAGGCTGTCCTGGACTTGCTGACTTGGCAAGAGTTAGAGAAAAAGGTGTGCGGGGACCCAGAGGTCACTGTGGATGCTCTGCGCAAGCTCAGTGAGTGTGGGGCAGGGCAGCTCCGGGGTAGAGCTTAAGGGCTATGTCTGTCAGGACACAAGAATGAATTCTCTCTTTGTCACCCCCAGCCCGGTTTGAGGACTTCGAGCCATCTGACACACGGGTGCAGTATTTCTGGGAGGCACTGAACAACTTCACCAATGGTCAGTGGGAAGGGACAGAGTAATACCTGGGTTTGACTCCACTTGTGGGATACAGAGTCAGGCTGGAAGTGCAGACACTGATTTCCTTTCCATCCAGAGGACCGGAGTCGCTTCCTGCGCTTTGTCACAGGCCGCAGCCGGCTGCCTGCACGGATCTACATCTACCCGGACAAGCTGGGGTGAGTGCAGAGGTCAGGTCCGAAGGTGCTGTGTCCAGCCTTCTGCCGAGCCCCCCACACACATACATGTCAGAGCCCTGCCCTGTGCCCCTATAATTCTTTCTGATCTGTGGCCCCTCCACACATCTAGCGGTGAGACCACAGACGCGCTGCCCGAGTCTTCCACCTGCTCCAGCACCCTTTTCCTACCGCACTATGCCAGGTGGGTTTCCTAGGTTCAAGTTCAGAATGGGGAGTGGGAGAAAGGTGACATCCTAGGGTGGATGAAGTGCTGAAGTGTACTAATTGGAGCCCCATTGCCCTTGGTAGTGATGGGGGCGCCCCCATACCTGGTACTGACCAACTCCCTGCCTCCCATCCCACCCCATCGCAGTGCCAAAGTGTGTGAGGAGAAGCTCCGCTATGCAGCTTACAACTGCGTGGCCATCGACACTGACATGAGCCCTTGGGAAGAGTGAGTCGGCGCCGGGGGGCAGCCGTGCGCCCGTAGTATCCCGCTCGGCCTTGCCTAGGGCAGGACACCTCACCTGGACCAGCTGCGGTCTGCGCTCCTGTTCTGGGCTTGAGCTGATGCAGTCAGAAAAACTCAGCAGGCACAGGGTTGGAGTAGGGGCGGTGAGTTGCCACAGGTGACTCGGCCCCGCAGGTGCACAAGCCCTGCACGGGCTGGGCCCTGCTTCCGGAGTTATTTAGTCTTTGTGAGGAGGAACCTTCCACAAGCCCAGCACAAGCTGCCAGGCCTGAGTTACTTGAAGGAGGCCATCTAGCTCCAAACCCACCATGGACTTGGCTTCAATTTTTTTGGCTCCTCTTTTTTTTCAACTTGTCTTTCTTTGGCTTCAGCCTGGACTCAAAACTAAAAACTATGTAGGATGGTGGAGGCTCCTCCCCAAACAAGGTGTCAGGGGATGGGTAGGGAGTGATAATGGTCTTTGTCCTTAGTCACCTGCCCCAGGAATAAAGCAACAACTGAGCACCGCTCCCCATTTCCTGGTCTGTACCTCCTCTCCCTCCACACTCACGGTGTGAGCTCTCTCCTCCCTTCCTCCAACATAGTCTCAATTGACAAGTGCCACTACCTTCCCTGGGTCAGGACCTACATCCACTTGACATTAAATCTTTACTGCCACTAGCGCCCCATATTCATCACATCTGCCTTACTGCCAGCCTGATTCCCTGTCTTCTGTCTCACTCCCAAGATTTTGCACAAATCTAGTTATCTCCTCTCTCAAATCTTCAATAGCTTCTCTTTACCCAAATCTAAGATAAAGCCTAGACTTTAAACCTACTTCTTCTAGGCCTTAGTAGTCCCTGCCCCACCTCTCCCTCCCTCAAGGGCCTCCATGACACTCCATCAAAAAATGTCTTGCACGTGGGAAAATTGAATAAATGGCTGAATTCATTCCTTTAGAACATGTTTATTGTCTCCTGAGTGATACTAGAAAAGGCTTTTCCAGGACTTCACGGTCCTGTCAGGAGCCAAGGAAATGTCTGTCAAGTGGGAGTGGTGGGCTTGTTAGTGGCAAACATTAAACCTGGAGCTGGGCAGGGAAATAAGGGCCCCACTACCCAGAAGAGGGTGAAATAAGCTGGCCTGGCATCGTCTGGGATGGGTGTAGTGGTTTAGAAGGTGGGAGTCCTTCAGGAAGGACAAAGCCTGAGGTGGCCGAAGAACAACCCAGGTCCGGATGTTGACAGAACAGGAGGCAGCAGCATGGCTAAACCCACCCCCATTACGCCTCCAGCTCTCACACTGCTAAGGTGCAGTCTTGAAGAACAAGTATCCCTTGAGAGAAGTGAGGATACAGTCCCCTTGCTCGCTCGCACAGTGGGCAGTCACTCTCAAATGGGGTCCCTAGGGGAGTGGCAAGCGCGGGTTCGCTCCTAACGCTTCCCCACGCGGTCCTCTAGGGCGCGCCCTGACGCTGCTCAGGCTGGAAACTCCCGAGGGTGGCGCTCGGCCCCTCCCCCCAGCTGTTCGCCCTGCTCCCCGCATAATTTTGAGTCCAACCCCGGGCGACCCTCCCTGGCAGCTCTCGACCAGCGGCTACCCGAGCCTTGTACCTTCGGTGGTCCACGGGAGCCGTCCCCCACCCTCCTCTGGCAGCCCCTTCCATTGCAGGGAGCTGAAGGGACGGGACCCTCAGAAGCCGCCGCTCCCCCTCTGCTCTGCCCTTCCCTGCAAGCTCCTGCCCGGTGTCCCTCCCACCCAAGCGCGCTTTCCCCTTTTCTGGGAAACACCTGGCCAGTGCCGGCTTGCCGAGTCAGTCCTTTTCTGCGTATGTTGTCCGTTACTGGCCACAGGAGTCTCTAGTCCCTCTTTTAACAAGTTGGATTTGCACTCTATATTTTGTAGCATGCTTTTCATTTAATCATTCAGTCATTCAGTGAATGCATCGAGCACCTATGTTAGGCACCACACCAGGTGCAATAAATAAAATAGCGGCTAAAGAGACAATTTTTGCCCTTTCGAGATTCCAATGGGAGAGACAATGTAGTAAACAAATACAGGCATAAACATTTAATAACGTGTGTAAACTCCAAAGGAAAACTGAAGGGTATTGTTGGAGGACAGAACAGGATGATTCTAACCAGTTGGGCTCTCGATAGAATACTAAATCCTGAGGTAGAGCAATTGGGCACAAAGGCCAGCTGAGAAGCTTGTTAAATCCTATGTTACTGAAGTGTGAAGGAAGGGAGAAGGGACTTCAGCCTCAGAGGGCCTTTTTAGAATTTTGCAATGAACAGCCAAGAGGGCATCAAGCAAGGGAGAAACATGGTTGTATTTGGTGCTGGCAGTTGTGTAGAGAATGAATTGAGAGGAAGACACTGGAAGCAGGGAGTAATCCAAGCAGGAAATGATGGTTGCTGAGACTATTTTAATAATTATTTTTTATTGACTGCATTGTATTATATTGTAAGGAATTTTTTTGCTGTTCATTCATAAAATCACTTCATCAAACTGCCAAATTGCCAGTTTTATCCTATGAAATTGCCAAAATGTATCAATTTTCACTCTCTTTAGTGTCTATTCCCTAAATGCTTACCAACCTTGGGTATTAACACTTAAAAATATTTTCTGATATTTTAATGTGCTGAAAATTGTATGATTAATTTAACCTTCATTGCTTGAAATATTTACTGTATTGAGCAAATGTTTTTCTTCTTTATAGACTGCTCTTTATGTATTTTTGTCTGTTTTTCATTGGTTTGATTTTACTTTTCTTATTGATTTATAACAATCTTTATGTAGTACTAAAATAATAGGTACTAAGATAAGGCACTGTGCTAAGAGCTATACATCTGTTATCTTGTTTTATCTTCTGAACAACTCTATGAATTAAATACTGTTATTATGCCCGTTTCCAGATGAGAAACCTAGAGCAAAGATGAAGTAAGTACCTTGCCCTAGCAGTGATGGGAGAGACCTGGTTCTTCTTGCTGACACATTTAAAGAATTACGTATCAGCAAATCTATTAGCATACAATCAGAGTTTATTAGTGATCCGTGCCCATGGAAGAGAATGGGCCTAGCTAAGATTGGGGGCGGGGGGAGGGGGGACGGGGGCGGAGGAGGGGGGGCGTGAAAGGCAGAGGTTCAGGGGAAAGCAGGGCGGCAAAAGTAAGAACAGCCGAAGGCTGGGGTGGCAAGCCCCTGGGAGGCCTGAGGCCTGATGCCAGGTGGCCAGAGAGCCAAGAGCGCCCAGTATGCCAAGAAAGCAAGTCCTTTGTTCTGAGGACTTGTATAGTTGGTGGGATGGGAGTAAAAATGTTACATATTGATTAATGGGTGAGTGTGGTGTCAGCTTTCCTGGGGGGATGTGACCACCCAAATGCAGGTGTGTGTAGGGGTCTGTTAGCCCGAATCCTTATCTTGCCCATTTGTTCATCTTGTAAAACAGATACGTGACCTGAGACTGTTAACTAAAGTTGGGGCAATTACCCAAAGTTATTTATAGGCTGCTGCTTTGGTCACTGTGGACCCTCGCCCGCATTTCAGGCCTTGGGATGAAAGCACAGTTTCAAGGCCTTCTTTTGCAGATAGTGGAGACGCTACATAGAATTTCAAGGACTTCCCTCATTCCTTGCTAATATAGTGTTTCTTGTGTTGTTTGGAACACCTGGCAGTATTCTCGGACCAGGCTCAGGACTGCTGAGTTAGTGCGTGAGACATGTCTCCCTCCCCCTCCCTGCCTTGGTTTACTATTCATTCTACCTAAGTGATAAAAGGCATTTCCTGACAAGCAGGATGCTAGACGCTGGCTAGTAACAGCAGTGTAGTCTCAGAGTTCTTCCTATGCTGCCTCCTGCCTCACTAGGTCACATAAATAGTACATAATTGATGAAACTAGAACTTTGACGGTCGTCCATGAGCTCCAAAGCCCACTGGTGTGGTAATTAGGGTGCTTATGTTAACCCCTTTGTTGTGCCAGGTATTGTATATGTTTTCCCAGTCTGTACTTTGCCATTTAATTTCATACATAGTCTTTCCTAATGTACAAAATGTTTAATTTTTATGAATTCAGAATCTTCATGGAAGAAACTATTTATTGGGTATATACCATAGGAAGGCAGTATAGTACACTAGTTAAGAGCACATTCTCCAGAGTCAGCTTGCCTGTATTCATGTCCTCGCTTCGCCACATCCTAGCTGTTAATCAGTGTCCCCAGCTTCCTTTTTTTAAGTACCTATACTTTCACCATTGATTTGAAATGTTGACCTTTTCACATACTTATCATTTGAGGCTAAATTTTTATATATAAGAAATCCTCATTTTGCACAGTACAGTAATGCCAAAACTGTAAAAATGACCCTGCAAGTTGAAACCAAGCAGAAAACTTAATAATCAGTGGGAGAAATTACTGTTGTTCTGTGTGACCTTTAAAATTTTTTGTCAACATTAAAAACTCACTGTCAATTATAAATGTATAGGGAAATAAAAAAATAGTAAAACTAATATTTACTTAGTACATTGTAATCTGAAGCATTTAGAAAAATTGAGAATTAGGTTTTTGCTTTGTAAAAACGTATCAAGAATAGATTGAACAGTGCTTGCCTCTTTTTTCTTGTCTGATAATATGAAGCAATGCCTTAATCTTCACTATGCCTTAATGAATTGTCATGCTCCTTTTTAAATTTGGATCAGCTCCTAACATTTTATTCTTTGTACTTTCAACTTTGTACTTTAGTCTTTGTACTCAGATATAGGGAAATATCTCTGAGAATTCCCTTAATGTGAAGTTTTTGCTGGCATCACTTCCTCTGGGACATCTTCATCCTTTTTATCACAGGCACTTTTCTCATTTATGTAGATAAGGTTGCCTTCACTAAGTTCCTCTGGCTGCCTATCTACGCTTTCATGATGGCACTATCAACAACATTCCCATGACCAGCTATTTCTTCTATTATTTCATTTATGTTCAATTTCAGTTTCACTCCCGGCATTATCACCTTTCATTTTTTTTTATTTTTTTTGCTGTACTTTCATTTTGTTGGCCAATTCTCAATTATTTTTTTAAATGTCACATGGGTTTATCATGGGAGACAGGAAAGCAATAAACTATATTCTTTGCCATCTGTATATGAACTGAAGAAGAGATGTATAGTGACTAATTAATCACCAACAGACTGAAAGAATTGATGTGATTCACTGCTCATGATGAACATCCAAAAAAGCTGATTCTGATATTTTTGACAGTATTCACATTGCTTTAGGGGAGGAGAGAATTTTTCGAGGACCACCATTTTTACTGATTTCACCTGTTCGTTTTTTATTTGCTTCTAAATTTATTAGAAAGTTGTAGAAAGATTCAAATAAGATACATGTCCCAAGTTCTGATAACCTTTATAAAACTCCAAGACTTTATAGCTGTCATTGTGGTGGTTCACTCCCTAGTCCTCCTCCCTGCCTACTTTTCGTTATTCCCACAGTACTTACCACCTTTAATATACTGTACAGTTTATCCTATTAATTTACACTGCTTTATAATTTATGCTGCCTCTGCCTGTTAGGGTAAGGGCTGGATCTTTTTTTGTTCACTAATATATATTCCAAGAGCCTAAAACTGTCCTTGACACTTGGTAGTCACTCAATAAATAGCTGTTCAATAAATAAGTGAACTGTGGCCCATAAACTATACTTACCAATTGAAAAGCAAGGAAAATAAGCCATTTGCAAAGTTTTGTTTTCAATAAGCATGGGAAAAAATCAGCAAACTGATTAAGTTACTTATGTTTAAAAGTGACCCCTCAGTTTAGGGGAATGATTTTCAACTTGTGTGCCACAAGAATATTTTTTAATGTTCACCCAAGGATATGTTCATTGATTAGAGAGAGAGAAAGAAACATCAATGTGAGAAACATGGACCACTTGCCTCCCATATGCACCCCGACCCCTGACTGAGGATTGAACCCGCTACCTAGGTATATGTCCTGACTGGGAATCAAACCCATAACCGTTTTTGGTGTACGGGATGATGCTCCAGACAATTGAGCTAACCGAGCCAGGGCAAGAATTTTTAAAATATGTAATACCCAGCTGTTTAGTCAGGGGCACTGACCTCTTTAAACGTTTAGATTGTCAAATTAAAAAATAACAGCAAATATAATAGC